TGATATTAAAAATATTAAAATATTTAATTATAATTATTAGATATTTGATTGATGGTATGAGTCCTAGCATTATGAAATTTATCATGTGATTATTATTAAACATTTTAATTTTTTTATGTCAAGATATTTTGATTTTTCTTTTAAATTAAAAATTCAATTAAACATTGTCTTCTTAAAAGTATAACAAATTAAATAGACAAAGGAAATTAATTAATTGTATCCATAACTTATATTTAAAAATCCCTATATTGAGTAATGATAAAGAAGATTAAAATTTAAAATCAATGATATAATATAAGTCATATCATTAAGTTAATTAATACATATAATATCATAACTATAAAAAAGTTCATCATTAAATAATATAACATTTTACTTTTAATAGTTTAAATAATATAATATATCACATCATTAATTTTAAATTTTGATAAAAAAATTTTAGTTATATTTATCATTATTCAATATAAATTAGATTAAAAAAATAAGAAAAAAGAAAGTGGTACTAGTTGATTTCAGTAAGACAGTAACAGTTGGTAACGGCGCGTCACCGCGCCGTCCGGTTATTGTCCAATCCATGTGTTGTGAAGAGGAAGCATTGACAGAAAGCCTTTTAATACCATCAGATAAACGACACGTGTCCTGAATTATAGCAACTGTACGACTTCCATGACCAATGGCTTACGTTGGAACAGTTCCGAATCTGTTTCATTATCAAACCCCGTCAAGTCAATCTTCATCTTTGATTTTTATTCCATGAATTCAGTAGTAATAAATAAATATTTAAATAGTAATGATGTAGGAGATAAAAATTTAAAATTAAAATAAAGGGTTAATGATATAATATAAATTATATTATTAAATGAGTTAATATATATTATATAGTAAATTTTAAAATAATAAAAAAATAATTATTTTTTTATCTTAATTACACAATAAAAAATAATTATCTCTTATTTTTTATCCTATCTTACTCGTATATTATATTATTCAAATTCAAAATTTCTTATTTCTAACGAAAAAAATAATCATTGAGTTATTTAAATTGTTGATAAAATAATTATTATTAAATATATAAATTTTTTTATATTTTAAATAACATAATTTTTTCATCTCATTAATTTTACATTTTTATTTCAAAATTTTCAACCATTTATTATTTTCTGTTTTTAAAACATGCACATAAAAAAAATATTTACGGCAAATATATACAGAAGAAGCACTCGAACTTATTCAGAGTCAGCAATCGAGACCTTACAGTTTTTAGTTGTCAGATTTAGGCCCTCAAATTATTATCAACTTAAGAGAATCAGCCGAGAGCCCCGAATTAGATAGCAAAGGTCATACCGCATACAATATTGAGTATACCGTTTAGCTTAGAGTCATGCAAGGCCTTTTCTTAACGTAACATTATTCTTAAATGAAAAATTTTATATTTATTAATTGAAAGTTGTTGTTTATTTTGTTTTAAAAACATTGTAAAAATAAAATTGTATTAAAAGCAAAATTCAATCATCTATATAAGCAAAGCTTGCTCGCAAGTTTGCTCCAACGCAAAAGAAAAAATCCCAAGCGTCATACTGCGCGCATAAGAAGACCAAATGGTGACATATGTATGACTCATAACCATGCAACTTGGTTGTATATGTCTTTAGTGGTGCCACAAGGGATAAAACAATAAGAACTGAATTGCAATAATGGATAAGTTTGAGGGTTATATCTAGTCTCTTTTGTAATAAAGAATTGCCAATAAAAACAAAATTTCAGTCGATGTTTTGGATTGCCAAACACCAGCCATCAGATTAGGGAGACTTGTTTTTACAATGGAAAATGATTGGTACACTTTGATTCAACATATTTTTTGACACACTTTCGGTTTAGTCATTAAAAATATAATATAAATATAGTCAATTCAACTGATTTTTGTATCATGTGTACATAATTATATTATTAAATTTATATGTTTTTAATTTCAGACTAAAAATAAAAAATAATGATTTTTTAATAAGTATATTAAATAATGTTTTGAATCAAAGTATACACCAATCATTGTTCTTTTACCATCAAGAAGGCCACTAATTAAATAGTACTGTTTTGCATACAGTATAATCTAGTATGCAAAACACTATTTTGAGAAAAAACAAAAACAAAAATTTATACAATGCTAAACAACTAAATTGCATATATAAAAAGTTTCTTTTGGTCAACCATAAGAGGAAACTCATATTTTGATAGGGGTAAATAGCTAGGTTGTTTCACTTCATCTTTTTCTTGTGATGCTTAATTTATTGTGTAGGAAGTTCAAGTAGCAAAATGACCCCACAAATTTTGGGAAAGCCATCGACTGTGGAAATAATGCAACACATATATATGTGTACAAAAGATACATAATTTAATGTTGAAATTCTTTACATAAGTGTC